ATGAAGAGGGAAAAATGCATCAAAAAGTTGTAAGATGTGTTTCTTTTATTAACAGCACAAATATTTCTTAGAATTGCAACATTATATATGTTCGATCCGCTATTACAAGAAGTGCCACCTCATGCTTATCGTTATTTTACCCTGCCCCTATTGAATAATCAAATGTGATGTAAAATGTAAACACTCTACATTTTTCATTGCTGATCAACATTAATCATCCCAACTCAACATTGCATGTCCTGCGATGTGACTATTGCGAATGCACAAATTGACATATCAATGCTGAAGCGATATATTGTGCAGCTTAAGTGCTAACACATGTATGTATTTGGAAAAGTGAACGTGAGGTCAACAAGTTCCTATAGGAACTTCTGTGTTCAAAGTGATATCTGCCACTGGCTTCTTTATCTCGATCAGTGTTATTTTCTTTAACAAAATTTTCATCTTAATTTTCATGAAGAACAAGTTTCTACCGATGAAAACTAAATAAAAATTGTGATGATGACTACAACTGTAATAGAAATTTACTGACATTTTCGTCGACTAATAAAAATGAGACGAAAATGTGATTGAGGGATTTTTTTTTTTTTGTAGAATATCCAATCAGAATTAATCTTGATGTGTAATGCATGACACACACACACACACACACACACACACACACATATTTGAAAAGTAACTGATCCACAATAGATGCGGGATGCGAATACATCATCTTTGAAATGGCAACAGCTGAGAGAAAAAGGGTTTGAAAAGGGGTGGAAATTGCTGATAAAAACAACAAATCTAAAGCGACATCAGCATGCCAGGGAATCATCCTGAAATTCAGTTAAGTTAAACTCGGATCTCTTTTTATTTACCTGAGTGTGTGCTTTTGCTTAACTGAAATGGTATAGCCTCTCGCTGACCTTTAGAGAATTAATGCCATTAGATTGTAAATTAAAAGTTATTAAATCGGCCAGTCTTAAGTAGCAAACTCGCGCAAGGTTCACGAGCTGTCTGCGTCTGCCGCGATCATCATGACAACAGCCATTTACAGTGTACCTCTACCACAAAATTGCTTTATTCAGGACGTCTTTCAGCAATGTGATTATTTCTTACGTCTGTACGGATGTAATTATACTGTATGGCTATAATCTTTACGTACAGCTTTCGGTTTAAAATGAAAGAATTAATCCAAATATATTTTAGTCAACTACATGTAGAGTAGATTTAGTTGACTTAATCGTATGAAATTTAGTAGACTAAAACTATACTAAATCTAAAATGATTCAGAAGACTAAAGTATGACTACAATTCAAATGGAATTTCAGTCAAAAGACTAAAAACTAAATCAAAATTTGCTGTCAAAATTAACACTGATCCTGGTGTGATTTAAAATGGTCAAAACATTACTGATTGGAATCAATCAACACCAGCCTGTTCAGCTAACTCTTCTGTAACTTATTTAGGACTTGAGCTTGGACTTTCCTTATCATAATACACCTAGACCATAGATTGCTGTAAAAATGTATCGATAGGGGGGAGGCATTGTTAATTGATGAGATATCTTGTCAACAGCAGGGCAAGAGTAAAACTGATTTTTTTTTAAACAGCTTGCCTGGAAACAAAGATCAAAAATGTTTTGTTTGAGGAACATTTAAAGTACTTTAGACTACTGTAATCCGTTGCAGATAACCCACCCTAAATGTCAGTTTGTTGCTTTACATGTCCATCAGATGTTCTCTTCCTGATTAAGTGCTTGATTCTTTGCCAGAACAAGAGCAGCTGTGAGACTTGTGTTGTTAAGGGTGGAGGCTGGTGTTTTTCTTTCTGTTTCTGTGTGGGGTGATGGAAGACGTATCTGCCGCCGGTGTTTTTGCAGCTGGGTGACTCGTCGCTGCACTTGCTCAAGCTCACTATTAGCAGCAAGCGTTATCATGCCATCATCGTGCAGCTGGTTTTCAGTTTCCCTCTGCTGAATAAATATATGCCCAGATCCTGTTGGTCCTCTCCCAGAAGCCATGATTATAGTCATGATTATAATCACTCACAACCATTAGAGAGGCTGGGTGTTCTTTTTAAGTAAGACGGATCCACTCAAGATGATTAATTTTTTGAATTACTAATATTTCTATTTGTTATTTAATGCAGATTTTGTTCTTTGATATTTCAGTTGGTGTTTCATTCTTTGTAAATTAGCATTTACAGAAAAAGATAGCCTGTGGTTTCTAAAGAAATAACTAAAACCTGGTTAGGCATGGGGCGATAACCATTTTCAAGTTATACCATGGTTTGGAGAAGTCAAGGTTTTAAAACTGCCAAAATTTTCTGCAATACCATTGCTATGGTATGTGTAAGATTTTTTATTAACTTTTTTTGTTTGTATTGTTTTTAGAACAACAGTATCTCCAGCAGAAAAGATTTCCAAAAAAGCTGTTTTAAATTGTAATCTGAGTTTTTGAAACAAATTAAGACAGCAGAAGTCAATGACTCATTTGAATAATTTAGCCTGACATGTTTACTGTAACAATATTTTGTAAATGTTTCTCAAAATAAAATATTTTGTGTTCAACGGGGGGGAAAGTGTGAAACCGTGATATTTTTATCCATGGTCATCATACCTTAAGAATCTTATACCGACCCATGCCTATTACTGGTACATAAAGTATGTCTTTGACTTAATACTGACATCACTAGCATGTTAATGACTCCGTTATAGAACTTTTTTTTTTTTTTTATGAAAAATCTTTTATTTTATTGTATTTCATTTATTACTGTATTTCAGTTTCAAAGTTAACACAATTGCTTTCACTGTTTCAAGAATATTAAAGGCGGAATATATAATTTTTGCTGTTAGGCAGCGCATATTAACAACAAACAAAAGCTTAGTTTGTTGACGCTGTTACTATGGGCTCATTAACACCGAACTAAAATTGTGGTTGTAAAAATGTGAAACGCAGCATACCATAGATCTACGTGATGTGATATTATGAACATGATATAATAACGCACCCAGAAATAGGGAAACGTCATGTGTTGATAAGCACTTTTAGCTACATCATGTAACCCAGGATATGTGGACAAAGCCACAATGAGCACCTTCTCCATGATGATATAAAAGTTGTCATGCCAGCTTTCTTCTATAAACAGATGCTAGCAACAGTTGCCCCACCTCCAAGCTCTTCTGATTGGTCCACTGTTTTGGACCTGACAGTGATGAGCTGATCTTTCAACCTGACACAGTGTCTGAAAAAAACGTTGCGCTCACATGCGTATTGCTTTAAAAGTCATGAGACGTAATGCCAAGTTCAGACTGCATGATTTTCAAAATAGTGGCGTCACTTTCACACTGCATGAATATATGGGGTAGCATTTTGTGGCTGCTTCATTTACACTGTAGGATGGATCGCGACAGGGAGTTTCACGCTGCATGACTTTACAGTAGAAAGACTCGCCGACATCTTTGTCTTGGTCCGAAAACTACATCTCTCACAACAAAACACATGCGATAAGTGACATGGAAACAACGTGAAGTCCTTAGTATATCTTTTGTTATTAACTACATAATGAGAAAGAAGCCTTTTGTGGAGTGGCAAATTTAATTATTTTGCTCACCTTTAGAAGGGAATTAGCAATTTCTTCTCAACTTTTTTCTTTTTTGACCGGGTTGTGATATTGCTCTGATGACACGACAAACAGACACGAGTACTCCTGCCAAATTTCCACTAGTTTTTCCTCCATGGGTCCAAATAGACTGAGAAGAAGCATTAACTTCTCGCCAAACCTCCCGCTGGCCTGCAGATATCCATACTAGTGGATGCTGCTCTCTCATCGGCTGTAGGTAATCACTGATGTCAACACATTTCACATGGCATGATTTAAATCGCCAACAGCTCCAGATATTTAACATGCCAAATATTTCATGAGTGTTTGTGACTTATCTGCAATTCTCTCAGAAGGCGTCTTTAATAGTTGAAACTGTGTGATTGCTTCCTTTGAACGAGCACCGATTTGCTTGTGATTTCAGGCATTTGCCTCTGATTTCTCAAAACCTGTCGGCGAGTCAAAATCTGGGCTAAAATCATGCAGTCTGAACCCGGCATATAGCGTAATGGTCACACACATCCTTCCAGCGCATGTTTACACTGAAAAACAACAGAAAAGTACAAGAAAAGAAGAGGAAAATGTATTCCGTGTGAACGGCCCTTAAGTGTGAAATTATGGGAGTTGTCATCTTCATAGAATCCTAAGGGACTCAGAAATCATGTTCATGGATGAGCAAAAATTTTAAAACCTAATTATTAAGGTAATGTGAAGCAGAATAAGGCTAAAAGATGTCAAAGTGAAATGAAAACACTGAAGCAATTTCTCATGAGAGACTAACAGCAGAACTTTTATTATGCCACAGGATTTTTGTTTTTTTGAGATTTCAATGAAAATAAAATTGTACATATTGTGTCTTTAATAATAGAAGGCATATAACTTCAGTCCTCCATATACTCTTGTCTTACTCTGCATCTTTTCTTTTGATTTTCTTTGTTCCTTATTTGCTTCTTAAATTTCTTGAAATTTATAATTGCTCTAAAGCAGGGGTGTCCAAACTCGGTCCTGGAGGGCCGGTGTCCTGCAGATTTTAGCTCCAACTTGCTTCAACAAACCTGCATGGATGTTTCTAGAAAGCCTAGTAAGAGCTTGATTAGCTTGCCCAGGTGTGTCTGATTAGGGTTAGAACTAAACTTTGCAGGACACCGGCCCTCCAAGACAGGGTTTGGGCACCCCTGCTCTAAAGTGAAGGTTGTGTAATCCATTGTTTGCAATGTTTTGAATGTCTCCCTTGTCTGATGTCTGATCCTTTCATTTCAGCTTTTGGGTGTTCTGATGAGTTGATATAAGTCTGTTTGATTAGGAAGAATTTGAAAATGTGTAGTGTGCCTCTAGAAAACATGGTTGGGAAACACTTATGTAATCATCTAACTAGCTCTACAGTGAATGTCTGCATCTGTTCTTTCTGTCTACAGTGTGGCTGGCGGAGAACTCTTTGACTTTCTAGCTGAGAAAGAGTCACTGAGTGAAGAGGAGGCCACCGAGTTTCTCAAGCAGATCTTGGATGGAGTCAGTTACCTGCACTCGAAACGGATTTCCCACTTTGACCTGAAGGTACGGAGACACATTTGATTTCCACTCCAGTGTCAGACTGTGACGATTTAGCATCGCTGTGCACCAGCCACAACAGATCAATTGAGGCGCTTTCATCCTCCCCGCTGGTTATCCACTCACTTCCACCCTCAACATAATTGCTGGACCTCCTAGAGCTGGGGTGGTCATGAATTCAATACCTTTTTTTCTTGTCGCTATGAAATTTCTGGAAGCTGTCATTGCTGAATTGCATTAATGTTTCAATAGGCATTGAATTCAAAGTTTCAGATGTGCTGAGTTTTACCTCCTACTAAAATCTTGTGCAACCGGTCTAACTGGCAGACCAACATCAAAGCAGTCAGCATTCATGTTCACCAATATAACTGACCTAAAGAATAAAACAATATGCTAATTACTGAGGTCGCTCATTATTAGCAATTTGTGGCTAATCCTTTGTGCTACTCCAGCAAGGACATTTATGTAATTGGATCTAGTGCTCTCTGAGCAGTCGTCCACATGGCTTTCCTTAACATTTTAAATATTTTGAAGTCATCGGAGCTTTAAGGAGATTAGTCTGTGCATGAATACAGCTCACTAAAGGAAGTATTGTTTCTATGGAATGCCGATTCAGGGATCTGTTACTGCCAGGTCTGAGTTTGCCTGTGCTTTCTAGAGAACATTTCTGTAGCTTTGCATGCGATTTACATGTGTTATGGCAGATTTCCTGCTCTCTCATGCTGTGTTTTTGTTCTGTGCCTATCATTAGATTCTCTCTCTTTCAGTCTGTTTTTCTTCTTCTTCTCTCTCTTAGCCGGAGAACATCATGCTGTTAAACCGGAACGTGCCTCACCCGCGCATTAAGCTCATTGACTTTGGCCTGGCCCACAAGATCGATTTTGGCAACGATTTCAAAAACATCTTTGGTACCCCGGAGTTTGTAGGTCAGTGTCATCCACTGGTCAGTCTATAGAGATGTGCTGTAATTACACCTACTCTTATTGTTATGGTCCTCTGTCCAATTCTTGCTTTTCTCCAGTCATATGTAATCTGAAAAACAAGTCTGACATGATGGTAAAGAAGCACCACAGTTCACTGCTGTATTCTGCATATACTTATAGAAATGCTAAGCGTAGAAATGTAGAAATATACTGTAGAGATTTTTTTTTTTATTTATATACAGTTGAAGACATTTATTAGCCCTTCAGTGAAATTTTAATTCTTTTTTTTTTCCATATTTTTTAATGGAGAATATTTTCAGCATATTATTCATTCATTCATTTTCTTTTCAACATGGTCCCCTTATGAATCATAGGTCGCCTAAGCGGAATACACTACCAACTTATCCAGCATATGTTTTACGCAGCAGATGCCCTTCCAGCTGCAAGCCATCACTGGGAAACACCCATACACTCTCATTCACAAACATATACTATGGACAATTTAGCTTAGCCAATTCACCTATACCTATTTCTTTGGAAACCCATGCAAACACGGGCAGAACATGCAAACTCCACACAGAAATGCCAACTGACCCAGCCGAGGCTCGAACCAGCAACCTTCTTGCTGTGAGGCGACAGCGCTACCCACTGCGCCACCGCGCTGTCCCTTTTCAGCATAATAATTTTAAAAAATTATTACCTTAGTTAAGAATAAATATTAATAACATTTTTTTGCTTGACAGTACATTATATTTTACTAGATACTATTCGAAATACTAGTATTCAGCTTAATGTGCATTTTAAAGGTTTAGCTAAGTTAATGAGGTCAACTTTAGGCAAATTAATTAGTTCATTAATTAATTGTTGTTGTTATTATAGTAATAGTAGTAGCAGTAGTAGTAGCATTAGTACTATTATTATTATTATTACAGCCAAAATAAACGAAATAAGACACTGTGAAAATAGTATTTGCACTGTACGATTTTTAAATGTGTTTTTATTTTTTTTAAATGTTTATTATTGTTATTATTATTATTACAGTCAAAACAAAAAAATAAGACAACAATTATTAAAAAAATGTATTTGCTCTATTAAACATGAAAATGGCAAATCTTTCTACAAGACAATTTCACAGGTGTGCTAATCATTTGTCATTGTATAGGATACGCATATTAAAATTTTGATTCCATCTGAAATGTTTTTCTAAAATGGTAATGTAGGATGAATAGGTTCTTTTTATTACATTTGACATGGAATTAACTGAAAATAAACATAGGCTGAGGAAAAATTCATACGGAACTCTTCATATATGTATAAGTACATTTTATAAAGTAGTATAGCAAATTTCATAATATGCATACACATTATGCAATGATGTAAATGCATTATAAATTAAAAAGTGTGTTTTATACACAAATGTTATTTATATTACAATTACAATTTTTTTAAACTAATGAATTTGTATCGCAGGGTTTTTCCTGCATAGAGAATTATGAGCACCACCTCATGCTTGTAACAAAAATTATGGCTACAGACAGAAGTGATGCTCAGGCATTGGTCATGTATTTAATCACATAAAATATTAGCCTTTTTAAATAAGATGTTGTTTAACTTGATAGATTACAAGAAAAATGTGTTCGTTTCAAGTAGCAATAATTTCATAGGGATTCCAACTCTGTCTCATTTTGAGCCGGAAAAACTCCATTACAAAGAATGAAACCCCACCTAAAATATCTGAGAAAAAAATCTGCATCAAATGACAACTTGATATACCATATATAGGAAACAGTTGTAATTTGTAGAATTGTTTAAAATTTTTAATATAATGGGAAAAGTCACATTTCAGTCAAATGTGTCCAGACTTGGTGGTCAAGTGTTTGAATAGGTATTTTTGCATGCACACTTCGTTAAATCCCACTAGACTTGTTTTCGAATAATGCTTCTGCTGTATCTTAATTCAAACTGAACATCAGCAACTCCCACCCCCACCAAAGCATCCTAAAAAGCACACTGACGCCCACTCAACCCCATCCCTCCATGCTGTTGGCGTCACATTCAATCCTACAACCTGAACGGCAGCCAGTGTGTCTGCAGGCACTGATGATACAGCAGTCTTAATAGGGACACAGTACTAAAGGCCACGGTCAATACCAGCTGGCCTACAGGGTAGCCTATTTTAGTGCTCAAAATTACGATCAGCCATCATTGAGTAGAATCCGGTCAAGCTGGACACCTGGTCTTAAACGCACTAATTGAATGATTAGCCCATTACCCAGGCCTAACTTCATTGATTTTTTTTTTTTTTCGTTGTAGCCTTAAGGTCAAGAATCAGCTCACTCCTTCCAATCCCTGCTCAGTGATCAAATCCAGACGGTGCATGATAAGACAAATAGAAAACCTAAGTCAATTTTCAGACTAGCAGCAGCATCTCTCATTTCTTCATTTCCTCATTAACACATCAGTGATTGAAATCCTCTGAAACCAGTGACTCATTTCACAGCTCATTTAGTGAGAAACCACCAAAATATCCTACATCCACTTAGCATTTCTAGACATTTTTGTAGGCCATTTTTAATGTTTTGGAGAATGCATTGACCCCCATAATCTTCATCAACTGCATTGTTTTTATCACATGACATCACTTTATATTTATATGGAGAGATAGTTATATATGCACACAAGCGATGATGAGTATGTTTGATGTGTTAATGTGCTAAAACTTATATTACATAAATATAGATACAATGTAGATGGAATTTATTTGATGCAGACTAATGCAGGTCTAAACACTAATATAAAACAATATAATTATTTGGGCTGAAGTTTAGGCATAAATTATACATAAAGCCTGTTTTGTTACGTGATTCAAGTTAAAACAATAGTTTGACCCTACATTAACAATAAACATTCGCTATAAAATATGATGCATTTTCATACTAGTTTACACTAGTTCTGAAAATGTAAATGTACTATAAATTTAAATGGACTGTAAATCCTTTTTTCTTGCCTTATTATAAGAGTCTTGTTTATTTGTTTGGTTTTGATCAGAAATCTAATTCTTTACTGATCTCTGTGTATATAACTTTTTTGACTTTCCTTTATTATAATGCAAGTTACACCCACTGCTTTTTTTTTGTCTTGTTTTGTTTTTGTTGCTGACATCTTGAAATTTGAGTGTACACTACCTGATAAAAATCTTGTCGTTGATTCCAGTTATAAGAGCAACAAATAATAACTTGACTTCTAATTGATCAAGTGGAAAAGTGGCAGAAGGCAGATTTTTCAGATAAATTATCACAAATACTACAGAAGACCTATTGGAACCAGCATGGAGCCAAGATTCTCACAGAAATCAGTCGAGTTTGGGAAAAGAAACATTAGTGTTTTGGCTTACATTTAGTATATACATTCAGGTGTGCACTGTAAAAAATAATACCCTATATCTACACAATAAAATTGAGGTAATGGATTACAAGCAATATTATTAATTCAATTCAACAAATATAGATTGAGTGACAATTAATTAAATTGGCATACTTAAAATTAGTCATTTAAAATAAGTAACTGCGTACAGTACTTTAAAAAATTAGCAAATTTTTACCAGTTATTGATTTAATTATTTATCAGTGTAACAGAAAATTATTGTGAATTTGAAAATGCTCATTTTAATCCAGTTGGATTTGATTAATATTTTCTCTTTTTAAATAATTAAAAAATAATAGCTAAATTTTTATAATAAAATTGATTAGATTTCATACAGACATTTTAAGTAGTTTCAAAGCGGGAAAAATGGCCTAAAAACAGGAAATTAATTTTATTAAATTAAGTTTAGATATTAAATTTAATAAAATATACAAGGCCACAGAATGACTTTTTACATTGTGCGAGAGATCTGCAGAGTGGATGGGAGTATCCACAGCCTGAGGTATCAAGACATTTGTGCTGCCCATTACATTACAAAACACAGCAGAGGGCAAATTCTTCAGCAGTATAGCGCTCCTTCTCATACTTCAGCCTCCACATCAAAGTTCCTGAGAGCAAAGAAGGTCAAGGTGCTCCAGGATTGGCCAGCTCAGTCACCAGAAATAAACATTATCGAGCATGTTTGGGGTAAGATGAAGGAGGCATTGAAGATGAATCCAAAGAATCTTGATGACCTCTGGGAGTCCTGCAAGAAGCTTTCTTTGCCATTTCAAATAACTTTATTAATAAGTTATTTGAGTCATTGCAGAGATGTATGGATGCAGTCCCCCAGGCTCATGGGAGTCATACACAATATTCATTCATTTTCCACTGCACCACTTGTATTCTAACAATTATATACTTTATATTCTATACTCTACATTATTTCTGTTAAGTGACAAGACTTTTCTCTAGGCAAAGTCAGACCTTATTGTCCTAATCAATCAAGTTGTAATCAAGAGGCCTTTAACTTTCATATAAATCACTTCTGATACCAAATGATCAATAAGAAGTCAAGTTATTATTTGCTGTTCCTAAAACTTCGTTAGGCGACAAGAGTTTTGTCAGGTAGTGTATGTTGGCTATATTTAATTTTGGTCTTTAATTTTCCTTTGCCAAGATGACACCCTAACTAGTACTGGTATTGTTTTTACTTTAAAATATTGTATTGCAAGTAATTTCATTGATTTATATATGGTTTGCAGCTCCAGAAGTGGTGAACTATGAGCCTCTTGGCCTGGAGGCAGACATGTGGTGAGAAAGAGTGTTATCTCATATCATTATCCATTACCTGACCTTGCTGTTACCTCAACCCAGTGCTAATCGCTGTTTTTATTTTTCTTTCATTCTAGGAGCATTGGAGTAATCACTTATATTCTGTGAGTATTCATAATCATCAATGTTGTTGGGATGTTGTAAATATAGCATATACATCGTTACTAATGCAATCTGAACGCATTTATTGATTTTCACTTCAGCTGTAAATTGCGTCCATTTTTGTAATTGAGTTATTTTTCTCAAAGTTTCTCTGTAATCACATTCTGCAGTAAAGCAAATACATGGTGACTAAATTTAGTAACATACTGTATGAAGAAAATAATGGCAAACTAAGATTAATTGCAGGCTTTTATCAGACAGTCACATTGGCAAAAGTTGTTTTTGGATGGTTCATGTTAAAGTAAGGAATGTCATTACAGATGGGAACCATTTATTTCTAATTTTGATTTCTCTGGATTGATAATAATAAAATTCTGATCATTAAAAAGTCAAATTTTATGAGTGAAAATGGCAATTAAATCTCAGAATTATGAATAGTTGTATGGCATTTCTGTCCTGTGTATTGTGGACCGGGACGATTCTTTAAAATATATAGCATTTTAGCACACAGTAGTCCTACATATGAACGTGACTGGAGTGGATGGTTACACCCCTACTTTCAGAGTGATTTATTTACCCAGCCAAGAACCCTATTGACAGCCAATCGGAATGCATTTTGCTTAAAAAAAAGATCAAACATTTGAAGAAGCAGACAACAAAATGCTAATATAGTTATTATTTACTGTGTGCACAAGGATTGTTCACCTGAAAAATGAACATTTACTGATAATGTACTAACCTTTAGGCCATCCAAAATGTTGGTAGAATTTTTTTCTTATAACCAGTTAAACATTAAGAAAGATTTTTGTCTGAAATGATAAATGCAAGTCAAAATCTACTGGCACTATGAAGCGTCAAAAAACAAGAACTTTTACACATAAAACAAAATGATTAGTGCTTCTTACGATGCGTCAAGATGTTCTGAAGCCAAAAAAAAAGAAAAAAAAAAGAGTTTGTGCAAGAAACTGACATTTATTTACAACAATATTACTTGTTATCCATAGCCTCAGCAAATGGTCCTAAGTGTGTTCTTGCCACAGTTTACATTTTAGAATGAGATTAGAATGTGCAAGGTAAATAATTAGGCCCATAGCTAGCGTGGTGAATGGGGTGTTTGTTTGTTTGTTTGTTTGTTTGTTTGTTTGTTTGTTTGTTTGTTTGTTTGTCAAAAGTGGATTTTTTTTTTTTTTTTTTGCAGTTAGTCACCTCATGTTCTTTTTATTTGTTTTTATTTGAGATTAAATACTGCATTTTGTTGACATTTCAAGCACTATTTTTTTCTGGATTAGCTTGTTGGATGGTCATCATAATCACAATTTTTAATGTACCAAAAACATTTCCTAATTATTTAGAACAAAGAAATATATGTATGAAAAATATTATTTATACTTATTATTTTTAAAATGCAAATTTGTTTATTTGCCTAAATTGAGATAGGCAAATAACAAACTGGCCAGCACATTCAATTTCCTCTGTGTGAATTTGGCCATTTGAAAAATAAACATTAAAACATAATAATAATAATAATAATAATAATAATAATAATAATAATAATAATAATAATATTATTAATAATAATAATAATAATAATAATAATAATAAAAATAACATAGAGCTTCCTGATTTTTGTTGTCTCTTTTGTAAAATAGTACATATAAAAATTCATAGATAACAACAATTGCCTAATTAGTATTAAAATTAACTGTAAGAATTATCTTTTGGTGCTTCACTCTTTTTTATAGGTCATTTTTTTCATTCAAGAACAAGGTTCAAGTTTTAGAATAAAAGTTACTTGTACAATGTTTTCTCTACTTAACAATACAGTCAGTAGTGAATGATCACCTCACTTATGTCAGATTCCGCTTGGTCTTAAAGCCTTCTTGCATGAGTTATTTTCACAATTTGTGATGGCATAGCAGTCAAAATAAGAGAAATGAGCTCATGAATGGGAAAAATTCTGGACCTTTGTCAGTTGGGGGGGGGGGGGGGAGGAGGGGGCTTTCAAACCACTCGAAACACCCACCCCCGGCTATGGGTCTGATAATACACATGTACTTTGAAGTTGACTAACTATGACTATGAATACTAGATGCTATTTATTAAATGTGTTAAATGATTAAATCATGCATGTTTAATTGTTTAATCACATAATTTGTTACATGTTTAATCATATTCATATATCTTTATATTACATATTTTCACAGTTTATAAATGTGACATTTGTGCACCAGAATAGAACGCATGAATAGAAATGTCATGCATGTTGACATTTAAATACACATTCATGTTTCTTTTACACTCCCCTATTTTCAACAGTTAAAAACATGTACAGATACTTTCTCTTCTGATAACAGTTAAAAGTTAATGGTTTACTGTGTTTAGATGCATTTAACAGTAGAGGATAAAAGGGATTAGCTAAATAAAATAGAACTAAAGAGTGAAAATCTCAGGTATATGTTCAATTTTTGTATTCATTCAAAATAAGTGTAGGTTTGCTTTGACTGTTTTTTTCAGTGACTGTCTACAAATTAAAAACATTTAAAGATGATCCAAAGGCTTCTCTCAGTTTAACAGATGCAAATCAGTTAAGGGTCAACTGTGTTTAGATGCTCTTCACAGTAAAGGATAAAAGGGATTAGCAAAATAAAATAGGATTATCGAGTGAAAATCTCACATACATGTTCACATTTTGTCTGCATTCAAAATAAGCGATGGTTGCTTTGACAGTTTTATTCCTTTCTGTTATTGGCTACAATTAAAAACATTAAAAGATAGTTTAAATGCTTCTCTCATTTTACCAGATACAAATCAGTTCATGGTCAACTGTGTTTAGATGCTTTTAACAGTAAAGGATAAGAGGGATTAGATGTGAAGATTAGAAGGGGAGCAAAATAAAAGTGATTAAGGGGAATTTGAGGAGAGAAACGAGAGATTTCAAGAAAGAAAACTCTAAGCACTTGATTAGACTTAAAGTTTTAGCACATTTAAATAGCAAAGTAGAGCAATTTACTGACATATAAAAATAGACATGAAATTTATAACCCAGTCCGTCAAAGTGATAGATAATGATTATTAGCACAACCTCTGAGTGCAGTGTCTAATTCTAAAGCTGGTGTTGGTCTTCCTGTGGAAACACTGAGGTTGCTCTATATATATATACTGTATGTGTGTGTGTGTATGTGTGTGTGTGTGTGTGTGTGAGAGAGAGAGAGAAAGAAGCACATCACACAGCAATATAAACAATAGGACTGGCCTGTGTTTTGTGATAAGAGCTGAGGGGACCCTCCTTTTTGATGGGAACCGAATTCTCATGTGTCTGACGTATGCAGTAAATCAGCGAATCTCACTCAAACTGTCAGGGAATGTCTGGCTCATATCTCACCCTATTCTCAAATGGAAAATAAAAGAAATTACATAACATAAAGAAGATTTAAGCCTCTCTTTAGAGCCTCATTCATCCACAAAAACGTCTGTTTGTTTTGGCTATCTGTCCATCACTATCCGTCCATCAGCGTCTGCTAATTTTAGCAGTCTAAGGAAAGCAGGAAAAGTTCTCTCTGTCTATCTCAGGGCTGTTCCTCTTTCATCATTGGCAAATAAAAAAAGAGCTTCACATTGGGTAGATATTGCTCACCATTGTCACATCTAATCCTGCCGCTCTCCTTGCATTCCTGTTCTACTTTTTTTTTTTTCTTACACTTTTGGAGGCTGTTTCACAAATGTAGGGAATACTGTTAATTGGCAGCGTGAATTCAGACATCAGCTGCAACTTTATAATATGCTGTTCATATCCTGGCAGAACTTCTAAAAGCCGTATTCTCACCACACAGATTTGTTGGTTCTGATTTTTAATTGGCAACAGCAATACATTTAGCCAAAACTAAGGCCCAATACCGATTCTATTTTTGTACTCTTAACAGAGTGTGAAGGGGAAGGGCTTCAAAATTTACTCCTATGAAATGCACAGCACTACAACACCTGCACACGTCATAATATGTCACTGCGATCTCTTGCTTCATATGAGATCGATAACGGCGACTGATGTATTTATTCCAGTTGTGTTTTTTTTTATGTTCATCTTCAGGGAAATAACTGAAGGCATATATTATGTTACCATGATGATATAATGTGGCAATAAGATCGCAACTATACTGCGCATTTACACTGTGGCCATATTCGTCAATGTAAACACACCAAAAACATTACCATTATAGCAGACACTGTAAAAAAGTCATTCATAGCTACTAGACTTTTTCGGACAGGGTATTTGAGGTCTCATCGAGTGTCAGTATTTTGTGGAACTACTATACATTTTATGATACAATTTATTATTATGGATTATAGATAGCGAAATTTAGCATTTTTATTTTAACATTTTTTTTTTTTTTTTTACTATGACGGTAAAGCACAAACGCGCTTATGAATGTATTAAAACATGTGCTCGTTTGTTGTAATAATGACAAAAAATACTAATTTGTGGATCTCCTGACTTCCGTGTGCAGCTAAGCTACAATTGTTGCTGGTGTATTCAGGGAAATTTTCTTACCCTTTGGTTTCGAGACCACTTCACATGAACGCACAAAACGAGGGGTGGGTATGGGGAAGGGCTAAGGGGTAGAATTGGAATTGGGCCTAATTCTACTCTGCTGTTTTCAATAGAATAATAATAATATTTCTTGAACAGCAATGATTTTTGATGGATCGTGTAATTGGAGTAATAACAGTAAAAATTCTGCATTGAAATTACAGGTATATATTATATTTTAAAATATATTCGAATAGAAAACAGATTTAAATATGTATTTTATTGTTTTAATCATTTATTTTACTATTTATTTTAAATAATATAAAATATTTTAAGTTTTTTACTGTACACTGAAAAAAAAAACGTTTTCTGCAAAATTGTTGCAAACAATTTATATCTGTTGGATTTAAACAGATTAAATTAAGTAATGTTCAACCTAATTTGTTTGTTTAAATTCAGCCCAAATAAATTGTTTGCAACCACTTAACTTAAAGAAATTTATCCAAGAAATTATCTTTGAACAATTTTTTTTTCTGTGTATTTTTGGATCAATTAAATAAAGACTTGATGAACACAAAGGATTTAAAATAAATCATTAAATTAAATTAAATTACCCAAAAACTTTTTGACCCGTACAAACAAAAATTAAACATAGTCTGTAAAAATAAAGTCTGTGTCTTCTATATGTTCTGTATGTCACACTTCATTTGTAAGGGGCAGAACAATTCTGGGCTTTAAGTTTATAAAATCTCAATGTTGTATACATAAACCTTAAATTCAAACTGTCAAATATGATAGAAAGTAGATAAAATAGGTTTTGTTTTTATCTTGTGTATTTTCAGGCTTAGCGGTGCTTCACCTTTCCTGGGTGAAAACAAGCAGGAGACGCTTGCCAATGTGTCAGCCGTGGACTATGAGTTTGATGAGGACTATTTCAGCCACACCAGCGCTTTGGCCAAAGACTTCATTGCACGGTTACTGATCAAAGATCCAAAGTGAGAACCAATAATTATTCTTTTAACGCTTGTTTTAGTTAACTTTACCTTAGAAATATTACTTTCACACTTTACAATAAGGTTGTACAGTATTACTATTAAATGTACTTACTAACATGAACACAGAACACTACGTTGGTCACACTTTAAAATAAGGTACATTAGTTAATGTTAATTAATGCATTTACTAACATGAACAAACAATGAACAATACATTTACTACTGTATTTGTTCATGCTAGTTAATGTTAATGAAAATACAGTAGTTCATTGTTAGTTCATGTTAACTCATGGTGCATTAACTAATGTTAACAAGCATGGACTTGGATGTTAATAATGCATTAGTCAATGTTTAATTATGATTAATAAATGCTGTACATGTGTTGTTCATGTTAGTAAATGCATTAACTAATGAATCTTATTGTAAAGTGTTACCACTACATTTATTATTCTCCTACATAATAATTAGTCTCCTAAATCTCCACATGCGGTAAACATTTTGCAGTAAAAACTGGTCACACAGCAACAATTTCATGCACTCGCACAAATGCTACTTAATATATTATGAGAGTGCATAGATAACAGTCAAAAAAAGAATGATCGCAATTTCGAGCCCTGCTAGTTGTTAGCATTTTGTAGTATGAACTGTCCAGACATTGTACTTTAAAAAGTGGCTCATGTTGGTGAAGTATGGGATATATTTTTTTCTTTTTATCTGTCAAAATAGTTTATCTTACATCAATACATGTGACTTCAAATAAGGGTTAGCACAAAAGTAATCAAAATGTAATCTAAAAGTAGCTAGATTTTGTTACCACATATGTGTAATCAGTACTACTGACTACAAATTGTCATGCACACAGGAACTTTGAAAATGCAATTCAATCATGAAAGCCCCTATGCAAATTCATTGCAAAGCTACATAGTTTTGTGCAAGATGTAGAACTGGAATTAGTTATGTCTAATTTTAGGAAATTCAGAATTATAATAAAAGTTAAACATGTTAAAAGCATGAATTTGATTTAATGCATTAGTCATTAGTAAATGTTGAAGTATTTAAAATAAATGCTGTACAAGTAGTGTTCATTATTAGTTTATTTTACATTATTAGTTTGTTACATCAACTATTATTGCTATTATTAGTAAATACATTAACTAGCATTCGCTAATGAAGCCTTATTGTAAAGGATAACCAATATTCCTAACTACAGTTGTCAACAAAAAAGTTTGAAGAATGACTAGAACGAGTGTTGTTCAGTAGTTTTCAGACAACTTTGATAAAAGCTTGTGATCCACTTCAAATATTGACTACTGTAAAAAATATATAAATAAATCTATAACTAAACCTATAAATCCTGCAAAGCAGGCCTTAAATCAGATCAATGTATGTTCTAGGCCCACACGAATCTGCAATCCACCCATTTCCACAGTCCATTTGAGCCCATCGTTTACTCAAAACGATTTATTTGCTTTTGTAAATGTGCGTCTATATATGTTTTTATATTATTTCACTATTATTTATTGAATAATATGCAACTATTTAAATAATTCATGTTCAATGCAGTTTGTAAAGTAACCTTTTCTGTCTTTTAGTGGATGTATTAAATGAGACACCTATTCCAAACATTTATTTTCTTTCATTCATCTTCATTCAGCGTAGTCCCTAATTTATCAGGGGTTGCCACAGTGGAATGAACCGCCACTACTTTTTTTTTTCTTCCCTCTCCCCAGACAATGTTATTTTTAAATAGCATGAGTTTGATTTAATGCATTAGTAAATGTAGTATTTAAAATAAATGCTGTACAAATAGTGTTCATTATTAATTTCTGCCACTGTGGAATGAACCGCCACTACTGCAAGCAAGTGATTCTAATTGGATTTTGATTGTAAACCTTAAATAATAATTTAAGTTTGTTTTTTAGCTCTCTCAAAATCAACCTGCATAAATCTGCAGATCTTGTACAAAATTCTGTGCAGAAATTGCAAAAGATTCTGTCTGACCCTGTTCATAACAAATTAAAGGAAGTGTGATATCTTAGCAAACAGTGGTTTTGGTTCTATATTGGCCTACTAAATTGTATCTGCTTATTGACTCCACTCATTCAGCCTGTGGTTTGACCTCATCATTTTTTAAAAAGAGAACTAAAGCTAGTTCTGTGGAAGTCCTCTCCGCACTTCACTAAAACGTGTCATTTGCTGTTTAAATTCTATTGAAGTCTAAACATTGCCACAAAAGCAGATATGCAGCATTCCACAGTCACAATTCCATTATGCAAAGCACAGTTTGATAAACATCTGTCGATTTGTATATTGAATGGCTTCTCGCTTCCTCTGATGCCTTTTTTCACATGGGAACTTTTTATTTAGGTTAAATGCTGGACAGGATTCAGATGAAAAGAGATTGACAAACTGGCTGTTTATTTGCATTACATGTGCAAAATAAATGTTTTGTGTTTACAGAAAAAGAATGACAATCCTGGACAGTCTTCAACATCCCTGGATCAAGGTTTGTTTAACAAGCACTACATGTAAAGCCGCTGATAACATATTTTATTACCTCAGCATTTTGTTAAATGTGTTTAATCTTTCTGTTTTTTCTTTTTTCTTTTTCTGTTTCAAGCCAAAGGATACACAGCAGGCACTGAGTCGCAAAGAATCAGCTGTCAATATGGAGAAATTCAAGAAGTTTGCTGCCCGAAGAAAATGGAAGGTGCTTTTATAAATGACATTTTGTAATTATTACTGTATATAAATTGACCTAAAGTATTAGAAAAAAAAATGACCTAAGGCGGTAGGAGGAGCTCTGAGGAATCAACATCATGTGCCACTCAAATCAGTCATGCTTTTTCCACAAACACACTATTAAAAGCATGCATAAACAAACCCTTGGAGCTATAATACAATAAAGAAGCACACACACATGTACAACATTCCCTGGAGCACAGGATTAAATTCATGTAATAAAAACAAATTAGTTGGCTACATGACATTTGAGGAGTTTAAATGTCATGTAATCTATTTTAGATGAGATTGAACTGCTGATGCTTTGGATGAAATATTCGGTAACACTTTACAATAAGGTTGTACTAGTTAATGCTAGTGCATGAGCAAACGATGAACTATAAATTAATTACAGTATTTACTCATGTTTTATAGTTCATTGTTAGTTCATGTTGACTCACAGTGCATTAATTAATATTATCAAGCTAAATATTGGATAATGCATTTGTAAATGTTGAACTATGATTAATCCTTTATAGGTAGTTTGCATTATTAGTTCATGTAAGTAAATGCTCTACCTAATGAAACTTTAATGTAAAGTGTGACCAAAAATGCTATAGATGAATATTGTTTCACCTTTCATATAGTTTGTTTTCTCTGTCATTCTCAGCAATCAGTGCGTCTCATCTCTCTGTGTAACCGGCTCTCCCGCTCCTTTCTGTCCAGGAGCAACATGAGTGTGGCACGCAGTGACGACACTTTGGTAAGAGCTGGCAGTTTAAGTCACCATTCAGGAAGCTGGAATTAATTATTTTTAAAAAAATGTTTGTATTAAATATATTTGGAGACACGCTTTGATTTGCAAATTGTCATTTGCCTCTTTTGTGTTTATTTATTAATTATATGCAAGATTATATTTCATTCAGTATAAAATATAGCTGTTTGTGATTGTAAAAGATCTGCAAACAGTTTTAAAGATCAAACGACATGATAAGTGAGATTATTGTCTCCCAAAAGAAAGAAAATATTCAGAATTTCCTGAAATGAGTCATAACTAAGTCCAGTTCTACATCTTGCACAAAACTATGTAGCTTTGTAATGAATTTGCATAGGGGCTTTCATGATTGAATTGCATTTTCAAAGTTCCTGTTACCCGTTTACGTGACAATTTGTAGTCAGTAATACTGATCACACATATGTGGTAATATAATCTAGCTACTTTTAGATTACATTTAGATTACTTTTGTGCTAACCCTTATTTAATGCCACATGTATTGATGTAAAATAATCTATTTTGACAGATAAAAAGAAAAAATATATATCCAATACTTCAGCAACATGAGCCACTTCTTAAAGTACAATGTTTGGACAGTTAATACTACAAAATGCTAACACTAGCAGGGCTAGAAATCGCGTTTTAATTGCATATGCGTCCAAAATTGTGTCTATGCACCCTCAAAATATATTTAGGAGTGTTTGTGTGAGTACATGAAATAGTTGCTGTGTGACCATTTTTTCAAAATGTTTACCGCATGTGCAGATTTAAGAGACATTCACGCAGAATGCATCTTTGCACCTGAAACACCTAACGCAGCGCTCAGGAATAGTTTAAAACAGTTGACATGTCAACTTGCTGCAGTAGACAAACCCTGCAGTGCTTGCCCCGCCTTCAAACTGTTCTTATTAGCCGCATTTCCACTATCAGGCCAGTGCAAGCCAGGGCTTTAATCGGGCCTGGCCGGGCCAATAGCCCGGGAGGTTGAGAAATGAGGCCGAAATCATGTCGCGTTTCCACTGTCGGGCTAGTAGCTCACAGCGCGTCATGCAAACACCGCCCACAGAACGTCCCCGAATCAAACGTCACACAAGTTGAGATTACATCAGACATTAAATAAAAACTGCACATTTCAAAGACTTTACGGGACCTTTCGGATATGATAATGTTTGATTTCTGACACGCTGTAAATCGCTTGCAATTATAGAATTAAACTAGTTAAAATCTTACATTGTGGACAAAACTGTGTTGGTCTGCAACAAATTTGCTATTAGGCTTTTAGATCACTCACTTAAACCAGGTGCTAATTTACAGAGAGTGTAATGTCGGTTCACAGTTGGTTCTTTTGGTGAGCCTTCTTATAGCTGCTTTACTTTACCACCAGCTAGAGAGTCACTGTAGATGTCTAGTCTACATCTAATTTCACTAAATATGTATCATATTTCCCAGGAACACACGTTGAAACTTTAAATATAAATGCAGCATCAACAATATGTTTGCTATTAATGTCAATAACTTTGTGAAGCAATATCAGCTTTCAAACATAATGAATCCAAAGTGTTGACGCAGCATGTCATAGTTTCTTTAGATGGAGATTATGAGCAAAATTATTGTTTATGCAGCTCATTGTAATTTGTATAGACAGAGAATACAAAGGAGACTAACATGTTGCACCATAATTTGAATGGACAGAGATTAGAAGCAAAAATGTGTTCAGCATTATGTTCTGCTGCTTCTTGTTGGTATCAGCCACCCTCAGTACAACATACTGGCTTACTTCTAGCCCATATATGTTTTGGTGCTTCTTAAAGATCCTGTCTAATTAAATTTTAGATTTTATATATTTTAATTTTGGCCTGCACAGTGGTGCAGTGGGTAGTGCTGTCGCCGGTTCGAGCCCCGGTTGGGTCACTTGGCATCTTTCGTCATGTTGGCATGGGTTTCCTCTCGGTGCTTGGGTTTCCCCCAAAGTACAAGTAATGTGGTATAGGTAATTGGGTAAGCTAAATGGTCCGTAGTGTTTGAATGTATGTCCTGGTCCTCCAGGTTGGGGGTTGAGCATTGGGCTAATGACCCACCTTGCAAAAATAAGATGTTACGAAACACCAACATGGTGCGGCTAAATATCAACTTGATATAAACAGCCCTTGGAGTAAGTAAGTACATGTTCATCTCAGTCTGTTTTTTTTAGGATATCTATAAGCTAGTGTGCTCCAAAACAGTGACAAGTTTTGCGTTTAATAAATATAAAACTTATATAAACATCCAAAGATTGCAGTTTGTCACTTCCGCCTAAATGTATCAACAATTTTTGTCCATCTAAATGTATTAACGATTACCTCATACTTCAGCTTCTTATTAACTACTGACCAATCAAATGCTCTAAATTATTGGAAATGCCTCGCCCCCTTTATAACGCTTCACATTTGCTTTTCATTTGATGCGCTTGAGCTCAAGCTTTTTTAAAGGGGAGGAGCCGCTCTATGTCCCACCCTCTCTTCATTTTTCATTTGATATTGTACCAAACATTGAATAAAAAACACACATTTCAAAACACTGCACAGGACCTTTAAGAACCACTTTCCCTGTGCTGATGCTTTGAGTGTCAACAGAAGGAAGACAAAAGAACTTAATTAAAACTAGGCTCTGCTTCAAACCAGAACTGGAAAATGGATGAAATGGGTGTCAGAGTCTCAGAAAGGAGAAGTTTAGACTGTGAGAAACACTGTGAGAAAATATGAGATGCTGCAATGTATGTTGTAAGAAAAGTCAAATGTTTTTTTTTTTGTTTTTTTTACCTACATAATATTACAAACCTTTAAGTGAGAGCTGGTCCCATGAAGAGTTTTATTCTGTGAAAACAACCACCTGAAGGTTTCCAGCTCTTACAACAATGCTTGCTGCAAAATATTACAAATTAGACACAAAACATCATTCTGAGTCATAATAAATTATTAATCCTTAATTTAAACACACACCTGACCGAAAGCAAAATGCTGAATAGAGCACACACTAACCTACATATTATTGGTGCCAAATGAGACAGACAAGCAAATAAATATTGATGTGAACATATTCACTTATGGTTAAAATAATTTGAAGAACCATGAACCTGTGTTATTAGTTTAGTATTAGTAACTGTGCTATTAGGTAGTAGTTGTTATTAGCAGTTGTTATCTTGGAATAACATACCTTGGAATACCACAACTGACCTATCAGTATCAAGTATTCCAGACAGCCGTTTAATACGTTAGCTTCATAAAAACACTGCAGATTCATGTTAATAAACGCACATTAATATCAAAACAGAACAGATTTTGTTGTAAAAAGAACAACACTATGCTCAAAAGGCGTGTGATGAACCTGGCAACGGCTGAGGATCCCTGTATCCCTGAACTCTGGAGTTGTCTGTATTTATGGGATGAACAGCTCTAATGAGCTCCATCAGCTTCCCACACACCTAAGAATAGAGGCAGACACACACAAAAAAACAACTCCACTGAAAACAGACTCAGACTGAATGAAATACTTCCGGTCGTGTTCGGTTTGAAAGGCCTAATTGGTTTCTACAAGGTTTTGGAAGATTACCATGTAACACATTGATAGACATGATTACTAACTCCAGTGATAGTTTATATAAGCTTGCCATGAAGTCATATGATTCATCAAAACTATTATGAGCATGTTCATTGACAGTCGTACAGTCATGTAAGGTTTTGCATGGTCTTTAAACAGTCCAGATATTTGCTTAGTGATGTGTGATAAGCCTGAAAAGTGAAGTGTTATTGCCGTTGTGCTGAGTAAATCGTTATCTAAAGTTTACAGCTTATTGTTCTCCATTTTCCTGCTTCAGAAGCGTCATACGTCTTTATATTGCTAAGAAATAAACATCTGTTTTAACTGTTCACTCTTCCTTCACCTGAAGAGAGATTTTAAGCTTATTATGTATGGTTAATATTGTATAAGGTAAAGTTGCAAAAAAACAAACATTATTTCATTTACTTCCTATAGACTGCACTTAAATATGTGAGAAATTGAAGGTTTTGATGAGAACCGAAAATTAGGGTTTCATACAGGAAAGCTGTGAGCAATAATAAAGGCTTGATATTCTTTACCTTTTAAATAATACAAATATAGACTGCGGTTCAAAAGTGTGTGTGAATGTATTGTTATAGGTATTATAAAGGTAATATTCTAAATCAAAGAATCTTTTGAAAAAGTGATAATAAGAAAGTTTTTAAAGGATCATGTGAGAAAAAGTCTGCTTTATAATCTCAGAAATAAACTGAATTTTTAAACAAGAATTTATGATCATTATAAAATAGTTTTCAAAAATCTTTTTTGTGATTTTGATTTGATTTGATTTATTTATTTTCGAACAAAAATATCATACATAAAATATCATTAACAAAAAGAAATACATTTCAACATGGTCAAAAATGGAGCGAGATGAAGCATAAGCTTATTATTCTCCCACCCTATTACCACATACATCATTCGTTTATTACTTAAACTTATGTATTCTTTTACCCATCTCTTCTTTTTACATGAAACATTTGATCCTTTTGGCATCTTTGACAAATAATATGTTTGATTTCATTTGTACCATAATATTTGCTGTTAAAATTATCACATTTGCTGTGATATTTGCAGAATTTAGAGTCAACAACATTAAAGCATGGAGTCATCCTGCCCTGTATCAATGGTTCAGGCTGGTGGTGGTGGTGTAATGATGATATTTTCTTGGCACACTTTGGGCCCATCAGTACCAATTGAGCATCGTAGCAACGCCACAGCCTACCTGAGAATTGTTACTGACCATGTCCACCCCTTTATGACTACAGTGTACCCATCTTCTGATCACCTCAGACTGGTTTCTTGAACAAGACAATGAGTTCACTATACTCAAATTGCCTCCAGAATCACCAGATCTCAATCCAATAGAACACCTCTGGGATGTGGTGGAAATGAAGATTTGCATCATGGATGTGCAGCTGACAAATTTGCAGCAACTGCATGATGCTATCGTGTCAATATGGACCAAAGTCTCTGAGGAATATTTCCAGTACCTTGTTAAATCTATGCCACTTAAAATTAAGGCAGTTCTAAAGGCAAAGGGGGTCCAACTCGGTACTAGTAAGGTGTACATGTTATCATCACATTACACCATTACTGAACTACAATGTTTTATTTAGAACCAAATCTTTACATCAGTCACATAAAACCACACACAATCACCTAAGAATTGTGTTTTACACACATAACTCTCCTCAGAAGCCTCTGGCTGTTTGTAGAGTGCGTTTGAGTGCATGTTGTGTGTAACTTGATACACTTGTTGAGTTTGAGACGTGTGCGTTGATCTATCTGGGTGTCTTTCCAGTTCACTCCTTCACTAAACACAAGCACACAAACTATCTCTTTCTCTTTCCGTCGCTCACGGTTCGCCTAGTTTCCCTCTAGCCATGTACTGAGTGTATTGACCTGCTCGTCTGAACTGTCAGATGCTGTTTGGAGGCGTTTGAGCCACAAAGCTTACTTTAAATTGTGGTCGAGCTGTGAAGAGAAGGCAGTGTCTCTGTGCCGCCCCTCGTCTGCATTATTCAACAGGATTAGGACTTCACACTGTGTATTTGCTGATAAGACCAACTCTAGTACTACTGAGCGTAAAAGGATTTGCTCAAAGTGTGACTGTCAAAGGAGGCTTGCTGTTGTTTCTCCTTTCAAAGCTTATTGTATAATCGTGTGAATACTGCCATGTTGGCAGTTTTTCATTTTAACAGTTTCTGCTTTGTTTTATTTGTCCACTCAAAAACCTAAGTGTCCAAATTTATTTATAGACCTATTTATAGACCTATATTAATGTTCACAAGTTTTGAGCTTGGATATTTTTTTAGAATTTTTTTTTTCTGCTCACCAAGGCTTCATTGTGTAAAAAATTAATTAATTAATTAATTAATAGTAATAAAAAAAAAAAATATATATATATATATATATATATATATGTGTGTGTGTGTGTGTGTGTGTGTGTGTGTGTGTGTGTGTGTGTGTGTGTGTGTGTTTGTGTTTGTGTGTGTGTGTGTGTGTGTATGTATTATTTTATTTTATTTATTTATTTATTTATTTTTCTTGAGATGAGAAACCATATAAGTCCATATTTTCAAATTTTAAATTTTGAGCAATAAGATTTTTTTTTATTATTATTATTTTGATTGTGAACGATATATTATATATCAGATGATTTCTCACTCACTATAAATAACCAAAGTTTTATTTACTTATGCACCCAGAAATATGTCAGGGGAGTTCATCGAGATCTACCTGAGCTTAGGGCTTTCGCCCAGGACAGTATGCCAAGATAGCTTTATTATCAATCATCAGCCAAGTGGGAACTCTTGAAAATGTTTAAAATGCAGACTTGGTCTGTTTACAAAGTTCACACATACAATTAATGTCACATGGTTATCTTTTTTTTTTTTTTACTTATACGGTCGTTCATAGTACGCAGTCAAATATTTAATTCTACATCTTTCTAAATGAATACATGTTTTAAATATTTATTTATTCTGATTTCAAATCTGAGTTAAGAAAAGTCTGCCATTCTCAGTGTCACTTAATTCTTTAAAAATCATTCAGATATAATGATTAGACCTCAAGAAACATTTCTGATTACTGTCAATGTTAAAAGCAGTCATGCAAATCAATACCTTTGTAAAAACCCTGAATTATTTTTGTGAATTTATTTTGATGAATCAAAGGTACAGTTCAATGGTGTATATGAAATGGAAATCTATTTTAATATTTTGCCTAGGGGTGCACCGAAAAAAAAAATCTTTGATGAAACTAAAATTCTAAATGCATTTTGGCGAAAACCGAAAGCAAAAGAAAAATACTTTGTAATAATTATTTATCATTTCATCAAGTAATAGAAAGTAATTTTGTGTGGCAATATCTTAAATTGCATTGCTTTAAAAAAACAAGCAATCAAATAAACACATTTTATTGACAGTAAAATTTTATTGACACTGAACTAGCCGAGATGCAACATTTCACCAGGGTTGACATGGCAGCACAGTATTACAACTGCAAACAGCAGGAACAAGTGTGCAATCTAGAAACTGGACTTTGTTTTACCTGTAAGCATGTGCGGTTCATCTACAGATAAGTATAAATATACACGAATGAAATATCCAAAAATCAGAAAATTGAGCTATATTACTGTTTGACCAAGGCAGGTGTAAGCTAGTAAACAGTGTTCCGCTCATCTTGTGCTTTGATCTGCACAGCAAAAAGTGCCCTTGTGCAGCACTAGTCATTGAAATGAATGGGTTTCTAGGCATAGCGCATCACTTCCTGCATCCCGTTTGAGTATTCTGTGCCATCTTAATTTAGTCTTAATTGTCTATTTTCATGTGTTAATGTATAATTAACTTGAAAAATAATCATCCTGACCATCAACGATAGTAAAATATACGAAGTAAATGAAATAAAAATCAAGGTGTGCTTGCAGTATATGTTTTCATTAACTGTTATCATGATGATTGTAGCATTTAAATGCAATAATTGATCTGTTCAATTTCTTTAAAAGGATGAAGAGGACTCGTTTGTCATGAAGGCTATCATCCACGCAATAAACGACGACAATGTTCCCGGTCTGAAACACCTACTTGGATCTCTGACCAGCTATGATATCAATCAACCTAACAAGGTGAGAGAGATAAAATGTCATTTCTAGGCATTATATGGAGAAGGCAGAGAGAGACACTCATGCTCATACAGGACTTGGTGTCAGTCCAAGTGATCAGTAACCGACCTGAGCTCGATTGAGCTGATAAGTGTATCAGTGTCACCATGACGTCTGACTTTACAGTACATTGCTGTCTTCAAAACAGACTCTGAGATGAAGGTGTGCACTAGAAACAGTCACCGGACCATGTCTGATCCTATTTGAGTGAGCCTGTGCTTTGCATGTTTATCGTCACTTTAGGGATTTTGAATATTACGAAAGAGACTTACCCTTATTATGCTAATCAATCCAGAGGCTACAAAAATATTAAATAAAAAATGGTCTAAAAATATTTAATCAATTAGTATTTTCATCTGTTAAAAATATTTACTGTACATTTTGGATTAAAATGTGCATTTAATATCACCTAAAACTTGCTATTGCAGTGAATGTCAAGCAAGCAAAATGTGTGTTGCTGAATGGCAGACACATGGGTGTTTGTATAGTGCATTTCCAACACGTCATTTGTTTGAGTTTCCCTATAAATGTTTATGTAGGTGTGACCTTTACAATAACTGCTATTTTTAGCGAATGCTACTATATCCTCTGTTTGTTTTATTTAAAAGGAGTTGATGCAGTGTGATGGGAACTAAAATATACTCATACTGTTTAAGGCAGGAGTGGGCAAACTCGGTCCAGGAGGGGCGGTCATGTCCTGCACAGTTTAGCTCCAAATCTAATCAAACACACCTGCTTATAGATTTCTAGTGATCTTGAAGTCACTGATTAGCATGTTCAGGTGTTTTTGATTAGTGTAGGAGCTAAACTTTGAAGGACAATGACCCTCCAGGACTGAAGCTGCATCCAAAATCGCCTACTACTCAGTAGGTACTGCATTTGAATTCAAACGTACTACTCTGCCATTAGTAAAGTACATTCCATACAAAATGAATGGAACCTGGACGTACTACATTCGCCATTTTTTGATAATCACCTGACCGCATTTCAGAATCTCGCTGGAAGTAGTAGGTCATCTGGGTGCTTCTCACATACTAATTCTGTAGTACCAAATGGCACACTATACACTATGCAGCTATGCACTATGTACTTATGCACTTACACACTCATCAGCATAGTATATGAGTGTGGTGTCATCCCAAATGGAAGACTAATGTTTGTTTACCAAGCGGAAATTCAAAACGTTTCCCTGATAACGTTTGACAGTTGCCAAATTATCAAAATAAATTACCAAATTACCAAATAATACTTGCCATGAGTATACAAATATTTTTTTATGTAAAGTATTGGCACATCTTAGCACATGTTTGACATGTGGGTCAAATAAACGCTTTATTTTTCGTTTATACTTTTGAGGAACGCAGACAAAAAATGTAATTATATCTGTGTGTGTGTGTGTGTGTGTGTGTGTGTGTGTGTGTGTGTGTGTGTGTGTGTGTGTGTGTGTGTGTGTGTGTGTGTGTGTGTGTGTGTGTGTGTGTGTGTGTGTGTGTGTGTGTGTGTGTGTACGTGTTTTTGTGACATATCAGGACACAAATCTGTATAATGACATGGGTATTGAACAGGTATTACAAAAAGGTGGTGAAATATGAGGACATTTGTGACGTCCTCATTTCTCAAAATGCTTATAAATCCTACAGGATGAGTTTAATCAGAGAGTAAAGCTGCACACAGTCTCCTGTGATGGTTGGGTTTAGGGGTGGGGTGGGGTGAGGGCAATATAATATACGGTTTGGACAGTATAAAATGAATGGAAACCTATGTAATGTCCCCACTTTTCACAAAAACAAACGTGTGTGTGTGTGTGTGTGTGTGTGTGTGTGTGTGTGTGTGTGTGTGTGTGTGTGTGTGTGTGTGTGTGTGTGTGTGTGTGTGTGTGTGTGTGTGTGTGTGTGTGTGTGTGTGTGGTACTGTATATCAGAGTTTGTCTATCTGTATATTATTCCTATCTATACAACAGTTCTGTCTGGTTCTCGAATTTGATTGGCTGATAGCTGTGGAATATTCCCACAATACAGCACTCCTACAGCCTCCTCACGCTTGTGTATTACTCCGCCCACATAGAGTGACAGTAGATCAATAAACTCACTACAGTTTGACAAGTATTGCAGCTGTTGGACAACATAATGTACTTTTGAGGGGTTTTTTTAGACAAGAATGTAGTTGTTTAGATTGCAACTATGCAGTTTATTTATAAGGATAGGTTTTTTTGGTTGACCATCTGTTTCTAATGAGTGTCCTGTTTTTGTTACTGCAGATTAGTTTAATAAAAAGAATTAAAGAAGAAATGCCCACATGTTTAGTGTTTTTCCTTATCGCAAACACAACAGTAATCTGCTAGTGTTGGCGCTGCTTTGGGTTAATTATTGTGATCTCCCGATTGCAACAGAGAAAGAATGGGAAATCTGTGTAGGCTGATGGCATTTCATGCCGTTTAGCCTTATAAATCTTAAAATGTGAGCAACAGCACATGTTTTGTCATCACTTTGGACATTACACTTCAGATACTGGCTATAAGGGGCGTTGGTGAAGAATCAACAGTTTCTGCTGTTCTGACGTCAGCTGCAGTTTTGAAGTAATGGTGAAAGAATTGTTTCATGCAAAAGGATTTTTAGAATCTCCATGTTTGATTTTCGTTTCATATACATGATTATGTCAACAAACTGTTGTATAAATGCAAAATCACAAGAATAGCAGTGCGATATGGCTGTAAAACGTCACTGGTGGGACACTAAGGCCAATGCATGCCTCCCACCAGTGCCAATATACAGCCACATCGCACTGCTACAAGTGTGATATTGCCCATATGTATTATTATTATTAAAAATAATCATTCATTACCACACTGGCCAATTTATGTTTTATGAGTAAATTATACAAAGAAGGTAATTGTTTAGCATCATGATGAAATCAAAAACTTTCGTCTCCACATTTTTCTTTGCCTCTTAAGTATATTTTTCTTATCATAAAGTCATATCACAAAGTGTGGAGATTTGTGTATGTGTTGAAATGTCGGTGCAAGTGTCCTAAAGGAAGGAATGAGTTTGAGGTTGTTGAAACTGAGAGGCACTGGCTTTGTTTTCGTATGCACAGTGAGCGCTATTCCCATGGCTCTCATGCATTTATTCATACAGATGAGTTTATGACCATTCTGGAAATACAATTCCAGTCTTGTGCTTGCAAGAATTTGTCTTTACCAACAACCACAACCATTCTTCAGCAATTAAAACTGCTGTGTGAACAGTGAAAAATGAAAAAGGCTAATTTGAATTGTCATATTCAGACTGACTCTAAATTAAAGGCTTAATTAAAGCTGCTTTAAAGCTAAATGGAGCTATTAGTGCCTTGTTACATTCAATAAAATGCTTCTTGTTTGTGTTTGTTTTGTGTGTGAATTCCAGCATGGAACTCCTCCGCTCCTGATCGCTGCAGGCTGTGGAAACGTCCAGATCATTGATGTGCTCATGAAAAAAGGGGCTGAAATTCAAGCCTTTGATAAGGTGTTGTACTCTAATCTCTCTAAAACAATTGACACTCAAGAAAAAAAAATGCTGTTCAAAAGTCGCTAAGATTTTGTAATTTTTTTATTTGCGTACCTCTTTGCATAATAGAAGAAAATATTAAAATATAAAAATAAAACATTTTGTAATGTGGTTGAAAGACAGCTCTTTCAACAACCAAGGCTACAATAAGCAGCAATAATTAAGAAACATTAATACACTTTAAAACTAGATGAGCGAGTATTGGTGACAAACTTACTTTATAAAGCCAGATATGAACATTTAAAACAAATGCACAACTCAGAGAATGTCAATAAAAGGTTTGGTAACACTTAAAGGGGGTGTTCATAAGTCTGTCTTGAAATATTCATGTTATGTAATCATAACATGTCACACATCATGAATATGCCCAGACTGCAAGCCCAGGGAGAGTGTCTGGCCCTAGGGACAGCTTACTAGTGTCAGCGCCCCTGTGGGTGGAAGGCAAAGGGCCCTCAGGAGCCCAGACTGCAAGCCTAGGGAGAGTGGCTGGCCCCTGGGGCAGCCCGCTGAGGTCAGAGACCCTTGAGCTAGAGGGCAAGGGGCACTCAAGAGTCCAAACTGCAAGGCCAAAAAGATATTTGATGCATGGTTTTAACAATTGTCAAAGTGTCAGTTGTGTTTTTTTAAATGAAAAGGTGACGTGGTTTTAAATGTTTTTGTGACAACTTGACATAAATACATCATAAAATATTAAAATAATATTATTCTTTGTCATGACATCACAAAGACAACAAAACTTGTCATAAATCTGTCACAAACATGATTTTCATGAGACCATGATTAACGGTCATTCATTTTCTAACATTGTCATATTTATTCTTAACCTCAACTACAGTAGCACCAATTAAATTCGATATTATAATGTCATAAATATTAATTAGTAATTTTACTAGGAAATAGTAATGAAAATTTTATTTTGTTTCGATTAAAAAAAGATAAGAAAAATAGTCATTTCATAATTATAATAACTTTATGACTCTTATGATTAACAGCTGGAGTGTCCACAAGGGGAGTATGGTTGCAAGGTATCATGGTAGTTGTTCTCCACGCGAATAACGTATACAGATGGCTGGATGAGTTTAGTAGGCACTTCAGCTGGTAATCGTAACAATGACAGTCATGTTTATAACAGGTTAACATAGGTCTCAAACTCAATTCATAGAGGGCCGCAACTCTGCACAGTTTTGCCCCAACGCTTATCAAGCCCAGTTGATCCAATTAATCAAGGTGTTCAAGACTACTATGCTGTGTCACAATTTGCATACTTATAACTTTTTAACTAACTTTTTTTTTTTTGAAAGAAAAGAAAAAGTATATACTTTTGAGCGTACAACAGAAGAGTATGCAAGCTTTGGGACATACTACTTTCTTGTTAACAGATTGTTATGTTGCATAGTTACGTTGCCTGTCAATCATCTCAATACATCATACACATTTCTTTAATATTTAAATTCCTACCTTATTGGAGAAGCAGCAGCAGGATAATCTGCCATTCACGAGTCTTTCACTAAGAGAAATCTTTTCAGGTCTTTGGATAATTCTGCATTTTAGAAGTTAATTTCCAAACATGTCTTGATATAAGATCACATTGTTGTTGCAGATGAAATATAACACAGAAAATGTGATTTAAATATTTTCCAGTTGGCTAGATATTAATTAAGAATCAAAATAATTCAAAATGTAATAACATTTTGTAATACGTTTATAATTACACTGTTGACCATTCCTTACACATTAAGTCACCCTTAAACCTATCTGTATACCACCCATTATGTTTTGATATAAGTTCATACATTGTAGTTAAGACCAGTGTTTCTTAACCATGTTCCTGGAGGAACACCAACACTTTCTAAATTCTAAGACTCGCATTTCCTGTGGAGACCGTTCTTGCCAGGTTACCTCAGAAGTACAGTCTTGGTGGACCGCGAGAATGCATCTTGTGAGAAATGAGATGCTGCTCTTCCTGATGGTCACATGACCTTCACATATTTTTAACCAAAAATTATTTAAACACTACAATGATTTATTGTTTTTCACCCTATCAATATATATAACATGAACAAAAACCTTACAAATATACATTGCACAATACAAATAAAACGATTTTAAAATTAATTTCAGCAAATAAACACCCTTAACGTGTTTATGCCTTTATTAAGATTTTCATGTTATTGTATACTTTCACCATGTCGCTTTGGGAAACCCCTGAGGCAAATAATAATAAACAGGTCCTTTATTTAGCTGCAGTGACTTCTGGGACTACTCGAGCGAGTTTTGCACTCAAGTCTGCATCCACTCATCCTTGATATCAAGAACACATCTGGGAACTTTCACACGTCCTCCATTCTTGCGGTGTTGAGTTTTGGAACTGAATATTGACAGTTGATTATGACGTTACACGAGAACACGAGGATGCAAGATCGCTGAAGAACGCATATTGAGAAACAGCCTGCATGTTATGGATGTCTCCTTTATCTGTCACACCTATTTCAGTGCTGCATCCCAATTTGCATACTTATATTACATCCTAAAAGTATGTCAATTTTTTGTGAATAAAAAGTTTATACTTTTGAGTGTGCAACAGAAGAGTATGCAAGCTTTGGGACATACTACTTCCTTTTTAACAGATCGTTGTGTTGCTTAGTTGTGCCCATTTCAATCATCCACACACCATCCACATTTCTGTTGTATTTAATTTCCTACCTTATTGGAGAAGCAGCAGCAGGTTAATCTCCCATTCATGAGTCTTTCATACAGAGAAATCTCCTCAGGTCTTTGGGTAATTATGCATTTAGTCATTTTGACATCCAAACGCGTCTTTATATAAGGTTAGTATTGTTGTTGCAGATGAAATAAAACACAGATTATGCGATTTAAATATGTTCCAGTCGGCTAGATATTGACTAACAGTCATTCAAACATCTTTACCGAAGCTTGACTGTTGCTCTCGTGTGTCCATCATGTTTGTAGTTTATTTTGCACTTTTCACACTCGTTTGTAGTTCTAATCGGATTCACGTCCAATGTGCAATGTATTGTGGACAATATCAGCGGTTAGAGTATGGACGATTCTCCACTTACATTTTTTACCAGAAATAGCAAACAATCCGGGAACCTCTGACATACTCTTTTCAACATACTATGGTTTAGGACATACTAATTTGATTTTCAAATACTTTTTAGGACGCATAGTATGCAGATTGGAATGCAGCACTGGTCTTTCAGTCTCTGCTAATGAGCTGATGATCTGAATCGGGTGTGTTTGGTTAAGGAGACATAGAAAATGTGCCAAGCTGGTGGTCCTCCAGGAGTGTGGTTGAGAAACACTGGTTAAGACCACCTAATATAAAGTAGAACGTAATCTTTTTTTCAATATATTACTATTTGCTGTTTGTTTAGAATGTTTTAAAGAGCAATTATTATTAACTTGTGTCATTGGATGAAAAACAAATATTGTAATTATTTGTACAACCACAAACTTTGAATGACCGTATACAAAACAAATACGTACAAATCCCCACAACATGCCATTCTTTTCCTCAGACTGGAGCCAGTGCTATCTACTACGCCGCCCGACATGGTCATGTGGGGACCTTGAGATTCTTGCATGAAAAGAAGTGCCCTCTGGACATCCAAGATAAGGTGCCTCCATCTCACACAAACACACACACACACACACACACACACACACACTCAAACAGACACACAACAATCACAACCCCAGGGAGAGGACAGATTGGATTTTTCAAAGGCTTTCCCCATCCGGCACCTTTTCTCCAGAAAACCTTTCCTACTGAGTTCACACGCCTCTCTGCTTCCCATTGGTAATTCGCAGTTGCGATGGTTACTGGCCGGCCCGAGGTTTGCCGCCGCATGAAATAATTGTTGACTGTTTGTTGACTGCCTCACTAGTCAGTGAAGTGCGCTCAGTCAAGCAGAATTGCAGGCTGAAGTGTTGTCGAGTTTGTCAGGAGTGTCATACAGAACCACACTTGGAGTGTCCGAAGCTCCATTACGGGTGTAAATTGAGTGTTTGAAATGTCTGCCTCAGCCTAAAGTGCTGCCAGGAGAAACTCTGTGTTCAGATCTCACACACAGCTGATTTAGGGCTGGTTTGTGGTTGTCAGCACATGAGGACATTTCCCTTAAACTGGTTACATTCTGATACCGTAGCCCATCGGGAAAATACTATAAGTGGTCATAAAATTTTCAAACACATTTGTTGAGATGTTACCCAGTAATTGATTAAGGTTATTACAGTACATTTTATTTGGAAGTGAAAATTGCTTATCGTTACTTTGGTTATTTTTGCATGAGGATGATGCCAGTAATGGAAAGTATGCAGTGACGTCATTGGAATTATTGCACTATTCTGCGTTTATTCTGTAGAAATACCTGATTCAATCCAATCACCACACACTATCATTAATAAAAAGTAATTACAGTATTGTACATTAGATGATTAGATTAGAGTGTTATGTCTAACTTTTTTGAAAGAAACACACTGTCCCAATTCCTATTGATTTTACAGTGCTGTTGGCAACACTGTAAACTTCTGCTACTATTTCCATAAAAGTCTAGCCTCCCTTACCATAGTATGCTTTTTTTGCAAGTATCTTGCTTTCCTTGCCATCTTATGCTACTGCAACATACACTGCCTGACAAAAGTCTTGTTGTCGATCCCAGTTGTAAGAGCAACAAATAATATTTTGATTTCTAGTTGATCAATTGGAAACGTGGCAGAAGGTAGATTTTCCTAAAGTATCATCTGTTGAACTGCATTCCATTCATCACAAATGCTGCAGAAAACCTATTGGAACCTGCATGGATTCAAGAGTCTCACAGAAATCAGTCACGTTTGGTGAAGAGAAAATCATGGTTTGGGGTCACATTCAGTATGGGGGTATGCGACAGATCTGCAGACTGGATTGCAACATCAACAGCCTGAGGTATCAAGACATTTGTGTTGCAGGATAGCGCTCCTTCTTGTACTTCAGTTTTCACATCAAAGTTTCTGAAAACAAAGAAGGTCAAGGTGCTCCAGGATTGGCCAGCCCAGTCACCAGAATTGAACATTATTGAGCATGACTGGGGTAAGATGGAGGAGGCATTGAAGATGTATCCAAAGAATCTTGATGAACTCTTTGATGAGTCCTGCAAGAACGCTTTCTTTTGCCATTCCAGATGACTTTAATAATAAGTTATTTGAGTCATTGCAGGGATGTATGGATGCAGTCCTCCAAGCTCATGGGAGTCAGACACAATATTATTTTTTCCACTGCAGCATGACTTTATATTCTATACTGTACATTATTTCTGTTAAGACTTTTGTCAAAGCAAAGTCTGATCTTATGATCCAGTATTCCAGAGACCTTTGCCTTTCATATAAATCACTTCTGATGTTAATTGATCAACTAGAAGTCAAGTTATTATTTGTAGTTACTAAAACTTGGATAAGCGACAAGACTTTTTTCAGGTAGTGTATTATATCAGAAACTTAAATACATCAGAACCACTTATGATATGTTGCTAAGCTGATGCCAAATCATCCGTTTTATCTATCTCAATGTACTTTAAAGTTATTTATTCTGACACCCTTAATACGTCAAGATCATTGGAACAGAGCAGTAATTTTCTAGTCAATACACTGAATCAACTTTACATCATAGCTCCATATATTTATTGACTGGTCTTTTTAGAAAAAGAAAGTTCTAGAAGGGGTCTAGAAGTTTTCTGGTTCATTTTTGTTGAATGAGATTCACTTGTTTTTTGTTGTTTCTGGAGTGTCATGCTTGGTTTGCTCAGAAGACAAAGAGAATATGCACGTTGTGGCACTTACACAAGTTTATTTGGGGGATGTATTTCACCTTAATTTTTTGCCTGAGTTGATTTATATATTTTTATTTTTTTACTTAAAGGAATGTTACACCTAAAACTGAAAATTCTGTCATCGTTCATTCACTCTTTACTTGTTCCAAACCTTTTGGGCTTTCTCTCTTCTGTTGACCACAAAAGAGCATTTTTAAAAGAAAGCTGGAAACCTGAAACCATTGACATCCATATAATAATAAATAAATAATAAAAAGGCTTTTTCGACATTTTCCCTTTGTGGTTTGAAGTTGCTGCGCACCTGCGCTGATTGTGTCATAGGATTTAGCACTCCTATCGGTTTTTGGTTTGACACTCATCGCAGCTGATGTCACACTGCAGGAAAGTATCTGAAAAACTTTTGACCATAGATTTCAAGAATCGTTTAGGCTTTCCTAAATTTGTCTCGATTAACAAATCATGGCGGAAATCCTACCGTGTGAGTAGGGCTTTATTTGGAAGATGTGATTGATGTTGATTCCTGGCATTTATGGCAAGTGCTTCAAATATTCCTCTGCTAGCACTAGCACATTTGGAATGACTTTGTATGTAATATACTGACATGAAGTTTACATTCGGTTTGTCGACCCCAGCATAAGAATAGCGTGTAAAACTCCAGCCTCTTTTAGAAAGTAGTAATTAATTAGCATTTAAAGAGACACTCAAAAATAGAGTTGTTTTTCTCATATCCAAATAGTATGCAAATTTGACAAGCTATAATAAATGATCTATGTGGTATTTTGAGCTGAAACATAGACGCATTCTGAGAACACAGGAGGTTTATTTTACATCTTATCAAAAGGAGGATGATGTGTCTTCTTTAATGAAGTTCATAGCTGTTTCTACAGTCTTGTTCAGCAGGGTTTATTTTCTCCCAGATGTACACAGACTCATGGTCACAGCATTTTCTGTTTTTGTGTATGTAATCACATTAATAAAGTGCCTGCTCATCGCTGCATTATGGGCAGACGTCAGCAGCGTGTAGTTTATAATGTGAGTAATGTTTGACATTCTGTTGTAGTCCGGAGAAACTGCTCTGCATGTTGCGGCTCGCTATGGTAATGTGGATGTGGTCCAATACCTTTGCAGCATCCATGCCAACCCTGACCTGTTGGACCGGGTACGTAACACACACACACACACACACACACACACACAAACAAACTGATCTACATCACACATAACAGTCTAAACCTTGTGGGAAAATGTGTCACTCAGTGGCGTAGTTATATGAAAGTCAAGGTTTTCAGTTACCTTTGTGCAAATGTAATATTAACGATGAAAATGTAGTTACATAGATATGAATGCGTTTTATTGCCGTGCCAATTCCTGTTGGATTAGTCATGTATCTGGTCCATGTGAAATAAAACTGTATGGCAGCAAAACATTTAGAATGATTTGAAATATTTCTGTTTTGAGTTTTTATTCATCAATAAATCGTCACCTTGGAATTATAAGGTTCTATCTGCGTTCTAAATGATTTTGAGTTAATGAGCTTCCAAGTTTTTCAACTTATAAAAACATCCCATAATGTAAGAAAATTGTCATTTAATAAAAATATGTTAATAACGCAATTTTATTAAAAATGTCAGATTGAACCTTATAAGTCTAAGGTGACGAAATATTGAAGAAATTTTGTCTCTGTTTTCACAAGAATATTATGCAGCAAAACAATTTCTAGCATTGAATATAATATTTCTTTATCAGACAGTCAGCCTTTGTTAATGATAGGGGGATAATAAAAGATCTGAGGGATCTTATGATTGTAATATTTCATTAGTGTGTGTGTATGAATGAATGAGTGCATGCATGCAGCTTTGGTGACTATAAAAGACCTTCTTCAAGAACAATATCAAGTGCTGTAGTTTGCATTATTTGTATTAATGCATAATATTTTATGAACATAATCTGCTTTACCTTCGGCTTTTTTAATTAAATGCAAATGCAATACATGGTTTCACAAGTGCTGACGTGACATGAGTGCTGAAAGAGAATCATGTTCATGCCTCACTTCATTTGTTCAGCCATATGAGCTCTTAGCAATAACTTCTGTAGACTGTCAGTCTGTGCATTGGAAAAAATTGCTTACTGTGGCATCCATTAGCTTGCAAAAATGTCTAATTTGATAGATTTCAGGAAAGAGGCACTGTAAAAAAAAAAAAAACAACAAAAAAAAAAAAAAACATCCTGTAACTCAGATTGAGCATGAAGCACTATTTCTGAGAAATGCAATAAACATGATTTTAAAGTTATGTGTGCTTATTATAGTTATTTGTCATTTTAGAATGATAAATAATGTGCACTATGAGACATTTCTTAAAATATTAAACAGAGGTATACTGTTGAACACTTGATTCTGATTGACTGATGAACACAGATCACATAAAACATGCTTTTCAGTTCTAAAAACGTGAGGAAACTTTTGGAAAAGAGCAGTGCTCTGCCCCTTTTTATGTTGCTAGACAATAAAGTATCAGTGATCAGTATTCAAAATGTGAGGCTTTTTTGGAAAAGAGCAGTGCTTTGCCCCTTTTTATGTTGCTAGGCAGTACAGTATCAGTGATCAGTATCAGTCTTGGTGCTGGAGTGCATGGCATCAAGTGTTTTTTTCACAAAGAGCGGACTTATTTTTAACTGCACGTGCACAAACAACTCCGTCAAAAATGTGATGTGCAGTAGGCAGTTAAAATGCGAGGTGCCAGGGAAGCATAAACTAAGCAAAATGCTTGTTGCCCATAGAAGACTATTGAAAAAAGGAGTCGCTCACCACAAAAAGAGAAAATGGCTATGTCTGAAATCCCCCACTACTCAGTAGGTACTTCTTTGAATTTAAAAGTACTACGATAAAAAAAAGTACGCTATGTACAGTATGAATGTGAATGGAACTCAGACATATTATATCCGCCATTTTGTCATCATCACGTGACCTACGTGCCTGAGTTGCCTTACTTCACTCACATTCATGAATTATCTTGCGGGGCATCATAGGATACTGTAGTGACCATTCGTTGGTCACTTCTGAAACTTGCCGGAAGTAGTTGGTCATCCAAGTACTTCTCGCATACTAATTTTCACATTCTATGAATTCGGACATGCTACTCGGCTCGCATACTGATTGTAGCATACAATATCATATAGAAGTAGGCGATTTTGGACGCAGCATGATTGTTTTTTGTGATAGGGGCCTAAGATGTGCAATTATTTTCAGTGGAACTAAAGTATAGTTCCAGGCAGGTCTTCACCTTGTTAGTTGGATTTTACTACAACGATTTTAGTTATTTCACAGCTTACTGTCAAACAATCTAAATTAAATCGAAGGCATTTTGGATGAGATGCATAAATACCTTAAAGCACCCTAGATGTGAAGTGGCACAATTGTGCTTCCAGTTTGCAACTCCTTTAAGATAGTAAAGGAGTTTCCTTAGTTTGTTTCTGTAGAGTAAAATGTTCTGTATATACTGTATGCAGGCACTTCAGTATGAATAAATACCTTTTAAATGAAAACATTCAGAATAAAGAAATGAATAAAACGTTAAACTTTTGTGTATTTTAGTACATCTGAAGTGGGGATTCATAGCACAGTGCAGGAGAAATCAAATAACTTTAAGAAAAATGCCTTATAGTTAAGCATTGTAATTGAAATATATGGACACAAATCTATTAAACACTTTTTGAGTGTCTATTTTACACTGATAACACATTATAAAAGCCAAAAAGCCTAATATCTAAAACTGACAGATGCATAAAAAAAGTGTTTTTATCAACATTTTAGGTTTGCCCTATAGCAGTGTTGGGCAGTAGTGTTGCAATCAGTGACGCTATTAGCTTAACTACATTTCTCAGTAGCGTGGTGTTAGTGTCGCTACATTCTAAATCAAATAGCTTTTCTGTAGCAAAGCTATTTTATTAGTGAAGTAGCGCATTAGCTTCCACACAAGCTGTCTTGCCAATAAAAATAAAACCATATGACTGACGGTGAGAATGACTATTTCTTCTTCATCCTGTTTTACTGTAGATGATAACAAACCTTTTTACTAATTAGGCTTAATGAAAAGATGACTGAGGGAGAGGATTATATAGTTTACTGTAGTAAAGGCTAAAGTATACTATAGTAATTACCATAAGTTCATGATAGTGTTATGTAATTTATTAATAAAGAGGTGTAAATATTTCTACAATATAATGCTTATACCTAAATATTTACTTTTACTATAAAATTCTATAGTATTTTATATGTGTTACACCTGTTTTTATGGGATTTTTTGTTTTAGCTGTTAGCCGAACAATTATGCCTCATATAGTTCATTGACAGTTTTATTGATCAATAAGATATGATTGACTTGGATTTAAGTTGCTTTGATTTAAAAATGAAAATTGCAAAAATAGCTTAGATGTACTTTTTATTGAAATATAATTTTTATTGCAATAAAAATTGCTTAGTTGTAACTAAGCTACTTTAGCCAAGTAGCTTTTAGCTTAGCTTGCTACATTTCCCTGAGTGTAGCTTTTAATGTAGTTAAGCTTCATTTTAAGAATAGCTAATAGCTTAGCTCACTACATTCTTCAAGTAGCTTGCCCAACACTGCCCTATAGCATCCGTCCCATTTACTCTGTAGAAAACCGATATTCACAAGCCGTCCCAAGTGGTAAACACAGCCACACATTGTATATTTAAAACTGTTACGTTCATTGAAGGTGTCAGTGTTTGCAAGCTAATTAAGAGCAATTCGTCATGTGAAACGGCCTTGACACAGACTAATGTTGTTTTGCTAGCTCTGTGTGTTGAAGGTTATTCATAAGCTCCTGGTCTGTTTTCATGCCTCCACAGGAGCAAGAGACGCCTCTCCATTGCGCGGCCTGGCACGGTTATTCGGCAGTGGCCAGAGCCCTGTGTGAGGCTGGCTGTGATGTTAATGCCCGTAACCGTGAGGGTGAGAGTCCACTGCTAACCGCTTCAGCCCGTGGCTTCAAGGACATTGTGGAGTGCTTGCTGGAGCATGGGGCTGACATGGACTCTGCTGATAAGGTGAACACAGACAACACACAGAGATTAACCATTAATACTGCTGCTGGTGGTGATGGTTGGTGTTTTATTGATCAGTAAAGGTGAACAGTGCCCCTTTTTTTCTTTCTTTTTTTTTGTTGCATATATTCATTTTGTAGATGCAAAATTCAAAGGGAGAGAAAGTCTTATTTATTTTGTTTTGGCTAGGATAAAAGCCATTTTTGTTTTTTTAAATCCATTTTAATGTCAAAATTATTAGCCCCTATAAGCTATTTTTTATAGTCTACAGCAGTGGTCCTCAAACTTCAGGTACCACCTTGCTTCAGTGTACCATTGTCTCTCCAAGTAAGCCCAGTAAAGCAGCTGCCGTTCTGCACAGTTCAAAAACGTGGCAGATTAATTCCTGTTATTAAGAATATTTATTATTGTCAGCCACTTTAAACATAAATAGTCTGAATGTTAACATTGTACTGTGCTTATATGTAAAAAAAAAAAAAAAAAAAAAACTAAAAAAGTCAACACTTGAATTAAATTGTGTAAAAGGTAAAAAGAAAAGTGCTGTACTTAAATGTAAAGTAATAACATATAGTAGTCAATTCATCAACACCTGAAAATGTTGCCTGGACCTCAGAAATAAAGGCTATATGTCATATAATGAATTTTATTATATGTCATGTTCATATGTAAATCATTTTTGATAAATTTTAAAATATTTGTAGCATGTACATATTACATATTTGATTGCTCGACGTACCACTAGAAGGAAGCAGTGGTACACGTACCACAGTTTGAGAACCACTAGTCTACAGAACAAACCATCGTTATACAATAACTTTTCTAATTACCCTAACCTGCCTAGTTACCCTAATAAACCTAGTTAAGCCTTTAAATGTCACTTTAAGCTCTATAGAAATGTCTTGAAAAATATCTAGTCAAGTATTATTTACTGTCATCATGGCAAAGATAAAATAAATCAAATATTAGAAATGAGTTATTAAAACTATTATGCTTAGAAATAATAAAAAAAAATCTCTCCATTAAACAGAAATTGGTGATAAAAATAAACGAGGCTATTTATTAAACTACAGTAAATTCTGCTATAGTCACTTTTATGTAAATAAAAAAAATAATTCCACCTAATTCATTTTGTGTCATCAATAATATCAACAATTTATTTTGTAATGCTTTTTGTACATATTTAGAGGTGAACACTCAGGAACTTGAAAGAATATGGGAGGGGGAGCTTCAGTTGACAGATGAGAAATGGGATCTAATCTGGACTAAAAGATCTCTATCTGTAACAGGGCCAAATCTATTCAACTTAGAATTATTCATAAATTACACATCACACAATGTTATTAGAACTTATTGGTCAAAAGTTGTTGTTGTTGTTACTTTTGAAAGGGTGGCACAATATTATTAGGGAAATTATTCCCTTAGAATTTCTTACCTGTGACATTCAAATGTCCACTCAGGATTTTCAGAAAGTCTGGACTCCTTACTTGAATTTTATTGATGTTTCTTTAAGCTGTATTTTGAGTTCTGGTATGTCATAATTGAATTTATGTATTTTATTTTATTATTTTATCTTTATATATTTTAATTTTCTCTATTTATTTATTTATTTATTTATTATTATTATTATTATTATTATTGCTATTATTTATTTATTTATTTATTTATTATAGGGGTGTGACAAGATGCTTACTCCACGAGAAGAGACACTAGATTGGGTTCACGAGACGAGACAAGATTTTTACCCTATTTTTAAGAAATCCTCAATGATGAAATATATGAATGGAAAATAATCTTTTATTCAACTAAAAAAAAATTGCTAAATTATTTAGTTAATTTTTTTTTTTTTAAAAATCAACTTGTAATGAATATTATTTTACTTCTATTTTAATGAATTC